CCCAGGAATGTGAGGTTGCTGTGAGCTAGGCTGACGCCACGGCACTCACTCTAGCCTGGACAAAAGAGTGAGACTCTGTCTCAAAAAAAAAAAAACCACCCTCTCCTTTCAGCCGGCATTAGATATCCATGTTTCTTGCCCTCATAAGGTCTTGTGCCTACTCTGTCAAAGTAAAATCACTTTGTGTTTTAAATGCGTGCTTATGTAATGTCTTCCCCCTCTCCCCATTAGAATTAAGTTTCCTGAGTCAGCTTTCTCCCCCAACAAATGGCGAGCACATAGTTGGCTCTCAATAAATATTTGTTGGATAAATGAATGGATCTTGGCAGTGAGCTTGTTTGTCACATATATGCAGGCTTCTTCTGAACTGGCCTCTTTTTCCTCTGTTGACCTTTCAGGACCTGGGTTTCAGTGATGAGACATGGGGTATGATGTAACCCGTTTCCAGGGGGATGTTGACGAAGACCTTATCTGCCCTATTTGCAGTGGAGTCTTGGAGGAGCCAGTACAGGTGAGTTGGTCTGATGGCAGGTTTGGTGGCACAACAGATGGCAGTGAAACTAGGGGAATGGGATCCATGGGGAAGTCACTATGTTCTGCCCCAATAGAGGTCTGGTAGAGAGGAGCAGTGGAAGCTGCAAGGAGAATAGCCTTCCAGAGTCTAGACATTGGATGCCACAGAGATCCAGTGGTTCACATTTTTTTCTGAGGTCACTCTGAGAGTTTTCTCCTGTAACACGGTCAGCTGCTTATTTCTGTCTCCTGTTAGTAGCTCAGTAGCTTCCTTTCCTCTGCAGGAACTCTGACTAGTTTCCATCTTCCTGTTCATGATTAAATTTACGGACTTTCCTGATAAGTTCTCTCTGCATTTTGATGATGTAGTGCTTCATGTAATCAGCCAGTCTCCTTGCAGTCTTCTGCCTGCCTACTGTCTAACAAATAGGAAGTGGGAATATGTATATACTGACCTATTTTCTTCCTGGGATCTATTGAAAAGACTGGCTTTTTTTTTTTTTTTTTTGAGACAGAGTCTCGCTCTGTTGCCCAGGCTAGAGTGCTATGACATCAGCCTAGCTCACAGCAAACTCAAACTGCTGGGCTCAAAGCAATCCTCCTGCCTCAGCCTCCTGAGTAGCTAGCTGGGACTACAGGCGTGCACCACCACACCTAGCTAATTTTTTTTTCTTCTATTTTTAGATGCCCGACTAATTTCTTTCTATTTGTAAGTAGAGACGGGGTCTCACTCTTGCTGAGGCTGGTCTTGAACTCCTGACCTCAAGCGATCCTCCCGCCTTGGCCTCCCAAAGTGCTAGGATTACAGGCGTGAGCCACCACGCCCAGGTGAAAAGACCAGCTTTTGATCCAGCCATGCACTCTGCATTTTGATATGAAAGCTGCCTCCTTCAATAGGTCATTTCTCTGCCAGCCTTGTCAGACCACACTCAGTTGTATCTTCCTGGGGCAAGTATGAGAAGCTCATGGTTACCAGGCAAGTACAATAAGTAAGGTGAATCCTTAAAAGTTGTATTCATAGCCAGGTATAGTAGCACACACCTGTAGTCCCAGCTACTTGGGAGGCTGAGGTGGGAGCATCACTTGAGCCCAGGAGTTCAAGGTTGCATTGAGCTATGATCTCACTCCTGTACTCCAGCCTGGGTGACAGAGCAAGACTTTGTGTCTAAAAAAAAAATCACAAAAAACAGTTGTATTCATGGGACATCATCCTACATGATCCTTATTGCCCTCATTCTGTAAATACCAATTAATCCTCAGTCACTCCTGGCCAGATTGAGATAATCCCATTTTCTAAATCAGGACACTAGTCAATGAGGTCTCATGGCCCTCCCCTCATTCCCTGCTTATGTAACTCCCTTTGAGCCTTTGAGTTTATTCTTTCTCCCAGTTTCCAGCCTGGACCTATTCTCTTTCTAAGGCTTCGAAGTCTATTCCCATTAGAGGCATGTTGGATGGGTGTGGAGCAAGCTATTCTAGTAGTGTCAAGAAGTCATGGGGTGTGTCAGGTTCCCTCCTCACCCTGGCAGGACCTTGTCTGTTTTCCAGCACTACCATTTGAGGTGAGTCACTTATAGAGAGGTGACAGCCTAGTCAGAAGCCACCCATCCACCTCCAGGCTTTACCTTCTGAAGAGCAGGCCAGGCAAACCCTTGTGACCCAGACATATTTCCAGAGTTAGAAGGCTCCTGCTAGGGATGCTGATTTCCCCACATCATATTTATTTGTTGAATAGGTGATAAATTTACATGGTTTAGAAATCAAAATAGTGGCTGGGTGCAGTGGTTCATGCCTGTAATCCTAGCACTTCTGGAGACTGATTGCTTGAGTCCAGAAGTTCAGGACCATCCTGGGCAACATAACAAAACCTCTGTCTCTACAAAAATATTTTAAAAAATTATGCAGGCACAGTGATGCACACCTATAGTCCTAGTAATTCAGAAGGCTGAGGCAGGAAAATCACTTGAGCCCAGGAGTTAGAAGTTACAGTAAACTATGATCACCACTGCACTCCAGCCCGGATGACAGAGCAAGACTCTGTCTCTAAAAAAACTAAATAATAAACAAACAAAAAAATCAAAATAGTATAAAAAAATACATTGTGAGAGCTCTCACTTCGATCCTTATCCCTGTCCACCTAATCCCCACATAGATGAATAAATAACTACTTTTATTTGTTTATTATCTTTCCAGTATATATTTAAGCAGATACAAATAAATATGAATATATTTATGTGTGTGTATACATGTGTGCATGTGTATGTATAAATATGAATATATCTATGTTTTGGGGGCCCACTTTTCTTTCTTATGCAAAAGGTAGCACATTCTGTATACTTCTGCAGGGGAGGCAGGTTTAAACAGGTTGGTCATAAAAGAGGTGACACTAGAGCCAAGACCTGAATGATAAGGGCCCATTCATGTTAAAATCTAGAGAAAGAACATTCATTTCAGGCAGAGGGGAACAACAAAAGTAAAGATCCTGAAGTAAGAATGAGTTGAGTGTGGTCAAAGAGAGCCAACATGGCCTGAACACTGCTGGGAGCATGGTGTGAGGTGAGGAGAGGTCAGAGGCACAGGCCAGATCAAGCAGAGTTTTATAGGCCATGAGTAGGAGTTTAGATTTCTTTTAAGTATAATGGGAAACCATTATAAAGTTTTAAGCAAGGGAGTGATATGATCTGGTTTGTGTTTTTAAATGATCACTCTGCTAAATTTAGAGTGGATTATAAAGGGGCAAAGTAGAAGTAGGGAAATCAGTTAGAAGACATATTTAATAATTCAGGTGAGAGATGATAGCTTAAACTGGGTTAGTGACAGTAGAGATGGACAAAAGTGGACAGATCTTTTTGTTTTGGAGATACAGTCTGTAAGACTTTGAAAAGAATGAAGTATGCCTTTGAGTAAAAAATAAAAATCTACTGACAGTTGAATTAGTGATATGAGAATGATGTCTTCCTTTATGAACACTCTCTGTATTTCAGTCTTTGGTGTCTAGTGTCTATGAGCATCTTGAGGGCAGAAACTCATTTTTTTTTCTTTTCTTTTGTAGACAGGGTCTTGCTCTGTTGCCCAGGCTAGAGTGCAGTAGCATGATCATAGCTCACTGCAATCTCAAACTCTTGGGCTCAAGCAATCCTCCTGCCTCATCCTCCCGAGTAGCTGGGACTACAGGCTTATACCACCATGCCTGGCTAATTTTTTTTAGTTTTTTTTGAAATTGGGTCTTGCTATGTTATCCAGGTGGTATCTTATTTATTTATTTTTTTATCATAAACACCTAGTAAAGTGTTTGGGACATAGTAGGCACTCCAGTCATTTATTCATAAACATCTACCAAGTGTCTACTGTATCCCATGCTAGATGCCAGATGGTGTCTGCACAGAGGCCAGGCAGTCCTCTCGCTTTGAGGGATTAATGTTAGAGGTTACTGAGTTATCAGGGAAGTAGGCCAAACTGGTTTTTGTGAAACTGAAAAGAATATGATTCTATGAAAAACCCCAACCCTGCTTAGGAGGGTAAGTGTGGCTGTTGGGACTCAGGACGACACTTCAGGTCATCCCTCATAAAATAAGAATTTGGGCCCACGCAGAGAGGTTTCCTAACCTCTCAACAGGAATTCCAGGCTTTTTTTTTTTTTTCTTTTCAGCTTTCTTACATTTAACTTTAGCTGGTAAACCTCTGTCCCCTTCCTTTCTACATCTATAGTCCGAAGCATCCTTCAAGACCCATATCAAATTCTGTCCTCTCCATGAATATCTGCCATGATTACCTCACCTGGAAAGCTCTTATCCTGCTCTGGACTTTTTTTGACTTTTATTGTGTACATAATCCAGTTGGCAATTAATAATTGGCTGCCTTATGTCATCTCTCCTATTGTTCTGGAGTGTTATTTATATCTGTTATTGTTATATAACTTTTTACTTGTTTGTCTTGTTTCACAACCCATTTATAATCTTAAGCACAGGTACGTATCTTAAGCCTGCCCCCCACAATGCAGTTCCTGTAGTAGATCTGTACTTTGCTATGACCCCAGGGATCTCTGGTCCTAGAAGCTGCTCAAAGGCTTAATTGGCTTTGTAGAGTTATCACATCCAGGCTCTTAACTCCTGCTAATTCCCTTGTGTCCCTTTTGCCCTGTTTTCCCATCTAGGCACCTCATTGTGAGCATGCTTTCTGCAACGCCTGCATCACTCAGTGGTTCTCTCAGCAACAGACGTGTCCGGTGGACCGTAGCGTTGTGACGGTTGCCCACCTGCGCCCAGTACCTCGGATCATGCGGAACATGTTGTCAAAGCTGCAGATTGCCTGCGACAACGCTGTGTTTGGCTGCAGTGCTGTTGTTCGGCTTGACAACCTCATGTCTCACCTCAGCGACTGTGAGCACAACCCCAAGCGGCCTGTGACCTGTGAACAGGGCTGTGGGTGAGATTCCTTCCATTCTTCTGCCCCACACAGATAAGGGCCTTCCCATTTATATCCCTATCTCTGGGTGTCCTGTTCACTAGATGAGGAGATCTCTTATGTTGGCAAGGAGTATTCTTAGCCTCCTTGGCGCTCTGCCCTAAGATCTCATTTTTTTTTTTCTTTTTTCAACCCCTTGGTCAATTTGCAGAAGATCTCACTTTCTTGCCACTTTTCCAACTATGATCTTTTTGCTCTTGCTTTAATAAAAGAAGGAGGACAGCAATTCAGCAATCTGTGTGATCACACTGAGGACTGATTCACTGTATTCTTCCCTGTAAGGCCAATACTACTTTCTCTTTGTCAGGCTGACTCCTCTCTACTTTCCAGCCTTATCATGTTTCCTCTTGCCCTATTTTTTCTCTCTGGGTGTGAAATATTTGGTTGAATGTTGATAGCTGGGGCTCTGAAACTAGGGCTTCTCAAAAGGAATAAGTGCACAGGCAGAATCCATGGGAGGAAAGGAGAGCCATGCAGTAGATAAAGCACCATGTCTTAGAAGAGGAAAAAAGTTCAGAGAAAGTAGGCAGAAAGGGGATAAGGAGGAAGTCTGGGAGAAGAAAGTGAAGGGACCATACAAGAGGGAGGCTTGAAATGAATGTTAGAAATTTTGGGTAGGAGAAGGTCTACTCTGCAATCTTCTGCCATTTGCCCACATGTCCCATTGAATGCCCCTGGTGGCCTGTTCTGCTTTTTCCCCATCCCCACCCTGGGCTGCAGCCTGGAGATGCCCAAAGATGAGCTGCCAAACCACAATTGCATTAAGCACCTGCGCTCAGTGGTACAGCAGCAGCAGACACGCATCGCAGAGCTGGAGAAGACATCGGCTGAACACAAACACCAGCTGGCGGAGCAGGTAGGTCTAGAAAACATGGGGGAGAACATGTCCCTCATATGCAAATAACTGCATACCCATGGGTGATAAACACCCCTTATGAACACATAGACCTGTGCCTGTGCTTGTGAGCCTGGGTGAGTGGATACTCTGCCTATGGCTTAGTAGGGAATCAGATTGGAGCTCTCCTTGCTTCCTTTCATCCCATTCATGTCATTCATTCACCTAACATTTATCAAATGCCTTCTCTATGAACATACTTTGCTAAGCACTAAGGAGACAGCTGTGAGTGAGTCCTCCTCTTGTTTTCCTGAAGCTTATGATCTCATTCCTCAGATCTCTCAATTGCCCTCGTTCTCGGATAAACTTTTGTCTTTTATTTGTTGTCTGCCTTAACCTTCATCCTTGGTTCTCCTTCCCTCCAACAGAAGCGAGACATCCAGCTGCTAAAGGCATACATGCGTGCAATCCGCAGTGTCAACCCCAACCTTCAGAACCTGGAGGAGACAATTGAATACAACGAGATCCTAGAGTGAGTGTCACTCAGGGTGTGGAGTGAGTGACTCCATGTCCTGGCACCAAGGCCTGAAAGGAGGAAGAGCAGGGGAGTGCCAGATGGAGGGCAGTAGGAGAGCTGGCCTGGGGCCACTGCTTCTCAGATGTTGGGATGAAGGACAGGGGCAGAGGAGAAGAGGATAACCCTTAGCTCCAATCCAGGATCTCTTATGCATTTGGGTGGATGGAGGGGAAAGCCTGCCCAAGGATGCAGTTTATCCAGCATTAGGTGAGTACTCACCATGTAGAAAGTCCTGTACTGATGGCTGTGGAGTGCTAGGAGGGCCAATAAGAAATAGAAGATATTGTCCCTATCTTCAGGTAGCTTACAACCCAGAGAAGAAGAGGCAGAGTGCAAGTCCAGGAAAGTGATCTCTAAAATGCAGCAAAAGCAAGTGAAGTAAACAAGTGAAATCTAAGAACCCTTTCAGTTCTGGAGTCCTATACAGTTCATAGACTAAACTGTAAGTGCGAATCAATATATATAGGGTAAATAGTGCTAAATGGGAACACTACAAAGGAATAATTGCTTCATTCAATAAACATTTGTTGGGCACTTACTATGTGCCAAGCACCATGTGTGCTAAGTATTGGGATTTCAAAGAAAAATAACAGGGACAGAGTGTAGATTTGTGGAATTTAATCTGGTGAGTAAGATGGTGACTCAGATGGGATCATCTAGGGAAAGATTTGGGGTTTCTGAGCCAATGATGGATGGAAAGAAGGAAGAATAGTTAGGCTGAATGCAGTGGGTGGCCCTCCCTTTTAGGAGAAAAAGCCAATGCAGAGAAAGGAGATGAGCTGACATGACCATCTCCAAACCCCTCCACAGGTGGGTGAACTCCCTTCAGCCAGCAAGAGTGACCCGCTGGGGAGGGATGATCTCAACCCCAGACGCTGTGCTCCAGGCTGTAATCAAGCGCTCCCTGGTGGAGAGTGGCTGTCCTGCTTCTATTGTCAACGAGCTGATTGAAAATGCCCACGAGCGTAGCTGGCCCCAGGGTCTGGCCACACTAGAGACAAGACAGATGAATCGGCGCTACTATGAGAACTACGTGGCCAAACGCATCCCTGGCAAGCAGGCTGTTGTCGTGATGGCCTGTGAAAACCAGCATATGGGTGATGACATGGTGCAAGAACCAGGGCTTGTCATGATATTTGCCCATGGAGTGGAGGAGATATAGGAGAACTTGATGGGCTATCAGGAAGAGATGGAAATCAGAAAATCCTGTCTCTCCAGCAGCTGGGCCCTGAGTCCTCCCCACTGTCCTTAATACTGCGGCTTATGTTTGAGCCATACATCTCCCTGCTTTTCTGGCACTGAGGGGCCCTCGGGCACTTTGCTCAACCTTTCAGGTGGGAAACCCAGATTTCCTCCTTTTGCCATATTTCTTCCCCTAAAATGTCTGTAAATTCTCAGTCTTGGGGGGGAAATCTCCACCTCTGTCCATTTTCCTGCCTAATCTCTGGTTCTAGATATATTCAGAAAGCACAAAGAGATTCATTTTCCCTAGAGGATCAGGGTGGAGTAAGGAATCTAATCATCCCTTTCTTCCAAAACCAGGGAATCAGAGTAGGCAGGTCTGTTGACTCTAAGCAGTATTTAGAGGGCAGTTCTGGGGAACAGACATCCTAAAGAAAGGTAAGGGTGGAACCAACCCTAGAAATAGTGAGGCCTGTAATTGGCCATCACTGATGGCCCTTAGGAGAAGACTGGACCTCTGTGCCAAGCAATATCCCTGTTCAGCCCACCTTAAAGGTGCAGGCTCCCACTGGGCCTGCAGGTATGCAGGTTGGGATGCCGAAAATTTCCAGATTTCTTCTTTCCTACACTTTTCATAATTAGGGAATGACAGGGTTGGGGTTAGGGGTTAGTCTGTTTGGGTTTCTGTGTTCAGCAAAAAGCTGCTCTCTGGCTTTTGCTGAAGTAGGGTAGGTACTGCCTCTTGTGGCATGGGCTGTAATAGTTCCATAGACCCCTCTCCAGCCCTGTGATTGTAGTTAGTTATTTTGATAATTTCCCTTGGCCATTGTTTGTTTATATTTCACAAACCCTACCCTCTCTCCACTTTTTTTGTTGTTTTTTTTAAGAATGGCCTGGTATGGCTATCCCACTTTCTAGCCCAGCCACACTGTTGGCAATTTAATTTATTTACTTTTTTTTTAAGAAAGAAAAAAAGAAAAAAAAATCAACAAAACTTAAAACTTTTCTTTTGCTGTTTCTATTGTGGGGATTCTGGATAGGGTGGGACAGGGATGGGGTCTGTTTTATATTTCTCGTTTTCAGCACAACCTTTGGCTTTAATATAGGAAGAGCCAAGGGAGTCCTTGGCTGAACTTACGAGTCTGTCCCAACCCTCCAAAACCCCATCTGAAATGAGGAGCTTCCTCTACTCCCTTGATAGATGTGACAGTCCAGCATCAATGCCTGTGCCCTTGGGAAAACTTGCTCCTACTCCTTCCAGGGTCTCATCATAAAACTCTGGAGTTAGAGTATTAATTTTGAAGGTACTCCCCTCAACCCCCACCATGCCATACACACACACAAGCTTCCTTGGAGCTATATAGCTGGGTTCTAAGCTTCACCAGGCAAATGAGATATAAATTATATTACTGTGTCTCTAAGTACAGGCTGTGCTGTGCCTCATCCACACCCCACTAAGGACTTCAGCTCCATTTCAGGCTACCTGGGGCATTCCTTGATTCCTAGGATGGTTGGCAGAGTGAGAAGGGGAAGGATAGTAGGTGTGATTACTTTAATATGCAGGTGGGATTGGGGTTGGAGAGAGATAGAAAGGCTCCTCTCCACCATATAATGGCTCCTTTTCTTTTTGGAGTTTTTTTCCAGGCCAGCTTGCTGTAGGTCTGGGTAGTTGGGTCATGGCTCCATTGGGATTGGGGTGGAGGGATGCAGCTTGAGGGGAGTAGGGAACAGTCATATGTTCCAGCTCCAGGACATTGTGCTCAGGAATTTGAAAACGCTGCTATACTTAGTGTGGTTACTACATTTCTTCCACTCCCCTTTGCCCCTGCCTGCCTTATCAAGGCCCATAGTCTCCTGTCCTCACCCTCAGATGGAGCCAGGAAGCCCAGTTAAGGCTTTCCTACCCTTTGCACTAGTGTCTGCAGGTTGCTGGTTGTGTTGTATGTGCTGTTCCACAGTGTTGACTGTACTATTAATAAACCTTTTACTCAACTCTAAATTCTTAATTCAGCATCACTCCCCTTGTTTTGAAGGTTTTCTCTCTGCTTTTGCCTTTCTCTCACCCTAATTCTGCTTACTTCTTCCTTGCTTTGTTACCTACGCTTATGTTGGAGCTAACCTCTGGTTCCAGAGGATGTCTGTCTGGGAATAGTATGCACCTCACATCTGCTTTGCCCTGTGTTCCTGCATCCTTCCCTCCTGTCTCCTGTTTCCTAGCAACCAAAGCTCTCTCCAGTGATCTGAACTGTGTTCTTCCCAGGGTCTGCCTTTACCCTAAATTCCATGTCTTCTCTAAGTGCTTCTGGATTTTGGGGATACTTTCTACACAAGATAATGTATCTCTTTCCCTTGTCCCAAAAACAACTTTGCTTTGGAATCTGGAATTCTCCTACAGGCAGGGAAGCCTCTACCTCCCAACATTTCCTAAACCAAGAAAGTAAATGTGAGGAAGGAAACCTGAAACAACTATACCTGCTGTGGTTGTCAAATCTTGATAAACCCTTTTTGTAAGCATTTGCTGCCCCCTTTTCCCTGTCATGAAGAAAAGGAAATCTTCCCCCACAGAAGTATATTTTAAATTTGTTGAGCATTTTTTATGCACCTAATGTAAATCTAATAGTAATCTAGATACTCTAGTGGCTTGAGGAAAAAAAAGGCATTCCTGTGCTCACTGAATTTATGCTTTCATACGTACAAGTTATGATTATAAAATACCGATGAACACGTCACAATATAGAGCATAAGAGGCAATCAATATATATACCCTAGTGATACCAGTAATGTTTTTTTTCTTTCCTGAAACTGTCAAAATTACTTTTAGAACCTGCTGCTCATTCTTCTGTATGTCATGAATGGCACCAAATCTTTCTTTTAAGGTAGATTTGGCTTTTGGAAACAAATATTCATTGAATGTCTACCCTGCAAGATCCTCACGAGAGTAGGGATGGGGAGGTGCACGTAGCAAAGTGACATCTACCTTCAAAGAACTTACTCACTGATGGAGATGAGTATATAAAAAGGCACAATAAATGTGCTAAGTGGCTTTACTAGTAATATGTGAGCAGAGGAATATAAAGCCACTGATTCTGATAGGTATCAGGAAAGGCTTTTCAGAAGTATTATTTGTTCTAGATCAGAGGTCAGCTTGCAACCTGCTGCCTGCTTTTGCAAAAAATTGTACTGGGGCCAGATGTGGTGGCTCACACCTGTAATCCTAGCACTTTGGGAAGCCAAGGTGGGAGGATCGCTTGAGGCCAGGAGTTCAAGACCAGCCTGAGCAAAGAGCAAGACCTCATCTCTACAAAAAATAGAATAATTAGCTGGGCCTGGTGGTGCACACCTATACTCCCAACTACGTGGGAGGCTGAGGCAGGAGGATTGCTTGAGCCCAGTAGTTTGAGACCAAGCCATCATCACACTCCTGTACTCTAGCCTGGGCAGCAGAGTGAGACCTTGTCTCTAAGAAAAAATAAAAATAAAAAAGATTTTTAAAAATTAACAATATATCCTTAATAATCTACTACCATTCATATTTACATTTCCCTAATTATCCCAAGAAAATTCCTTTTACACCTAATTTTTGTTTAAACCTTGATCCAATCCAAGACCATGCATTACTTCAGTTTATTTCCGTTTTACCCTCTTTATCTAGATTCCTGGAACAACATTTTTTCATGTAACATTAATTTATTGAAGAGAGTGGGCCAGTTGTCCTGGAGAACGCTCTTTTGGACTTTACCGATTGCTTCTTCAGTGTCCTTTAACTTGTTCCTCTAGTCCCTATTTTACTAAACAAAATTAGATCTAGAGTCTTGAGAGGTTCAAATCAAACAGTTCTAGGGATAGAAGACATCACAGGAGAGAGATATTCTTTATATTTTGTAACATCAGGAGATATGCCCAATTGCCCCACCATTAGCCTGATCTCTTCATTGTACAGTTGTATTGTTGAGAGATTTTTGTAAACCTGGCTAAGTGACAAATACATGCATTGAGAAAAGGGGTCAATTGGCAGTGCAGCTCTGGTTGGTTGCTACTATGTAAGAACACGGATTCAGTACACCAGGTCTTTTGATTTTTCAAGAAATTCTGGACATCCTAATGTTTATGCTAAATCTCACAACTTTAAATATATCAAATTAAAAAAAAAAAAAGCTGTGTGCCAAAACCAAAAACTAGGGTCTACCGATTTGCAGCCTCCATTTTTTTTTTTTTTTTTTTTGAGACAGAGTCTCACTTTGTTGCCTGGGCTAGAGTGCCCTGGCGTCAGCCTAGCTCACAGCAACCTCAAACTCCTGGGCTCAAGCAATCCTACTGCCTCAGCCTCCCAAGTAGCTGGGACTACAGGTGTGAGCCACCGCGCCTGGCCTGCAGCCTCCATTTTAAGCTGAGTTCACAGCATGAATAAAAACAAGTGAAGTTTAGAATAGGATATGTTAAAGAAGGAAGAAACTAGTGTAATTGGGAACTTAGAGTTTGTTGAGGGAAGTAATGGAAGATAAGACTAGAAATAATTTGGGGCCAATTCTTGGAAGGCCTTGAATGCGTGGTAGAGAATTTGGACTTTTATTTTACAGTTAAGTATTTGAGAAGAGGAATAACTTCTAACCCACAATTCTGGTGGCATTGGAAAGAGTGCAAGAAATTGGTGCCAGCTTTGCAGTAATTCATGCAGAGAGGATAGGGTCTTGAAATAGAGCAGGAAAGAGGGGACAAAGACATTTGAGAAGGAAAACTAACAGGTCTTGGGAACTGATTGGATTCACTCAGCTAACATTTACAGCACATGGGGCCAGTCATTTGAGATATATAAATACTAATATTATTGAGAAACAATTTAAAGGAATTTGTAGCATAGTGACATACACTTGAACAAATAATGGCAAATACAGAATAGTATGTTCTAATAGATATGGACTAAGTACAAGGGGACAACCAGCAGGAAAGAATTCAACTACCTACCTGGCTAGAGGCCGAAGGGAGGCTTCTCAGGGAATCATTGAACCTACGTTCTAAACAGGATTGGATGTTGGCAGTAATGAACGTGGGTAACGGCCAGATTGAGCATTTACTGTGAGTCAGGCACCATTCTAAGTATTAAGCATTCATTTAGTCATCTCAACAGTTTTTTTTCTTTGAGAGGGAGTCTCACTATGTTGACTAGGCTGGTTTTCATCTCCTGGGCTCAAGTGATCCTCCTGCCTCAGCCTCCTGAGTAGCCGGGACTACAGGCATGCCTGGCCATCCCAACAACTTTTAATAAAGAGGCACTATAATTATCACCTCCATTTTCTATGTGAGGAAACGAGGCAGAGGGTAAAACTCTTGTAGTTCATAGTCAGAACTGGAATTTGAACCCAAAAATTTATTCCAGAGCCTGGGATCCTAACCATTGTCTATAAACAATGGGCAAGTAACCAAAGATGAGTCACAGATAAAGACTGAGGTTTCCAGTCTGCCTAGACTCTGGCAGGACCATGTTTCCAGTTCCAGAGAACATGGTATCATTAACCTAAATAGGGAGGAGAAGAGAATAAGCAGGTTTTGGGGGTGAAGTAATGAGTTCATTTGGGGCACATTAGGTTGGAAGTGCTTCCACATAGATGTGTTTAGCCAGGAAATGGAAACATGGCTTTGGAGCTTAAGAGCAAGAAGTTAGGACTAAAGATGTGGATTTGGGTGTTAATCCACCCAGAGGTGATCAAGAAATGCTAGGAATGAATGCAAACATTAAAGGAGAGAACAGGAAGAAGGCCAAGAATGGGACCTTGGGGAATTCCAGAAGTAATCTAGAATAAAATCTGGAGAATAGATACATGATAAAGTTGGCTAATCGTTAAAAAAAATTTTTGAAGTAATGAATCATCTAAATATGGCTCAGAAACTAGCTGTGAAGGAGTTCCAGAAATGTTTTGTGCCATGACAGCATCACTGAAACAAATGTAGGCTGAAATCATTTCAGCCCAAGTCCTCTAATGATTTGCTTTACTGGATAAACTCCAGAGAGCCAAGCCTCTTAAAATGTGGATCAAGTCAATAACTTGGAAGAGGATAATAAGTTCTTGTATGTGAGATTCCCCAAACATTAGCCTTTTAAAAAATATTAGTTACATGAAAGCAATTTTGGTTAAGATCTAAGAATTTACAGCTGAAAAGATTATAGGGTGGTGTTAGCTAGTAGCTGGTTGTAAGGTGAAGGGACAGAAGGAACGTCATGAGAGAAGGCAGGAATTAGTCTGTCACCTGGAAATGACCAGCCTGATTAGATGGGAGGTATCATACTGGGAAGATTTAAGGGTAAGATTTAGGCAAGGTATGTTGATAATAGAAGCTTGTGTTTGATTACATGGGGAATTGAGGTTCCTGGATAGAGAAATAATATGATGAAAGCAGCATTGTAGAGTAATCACACTACTATAGGGTGGATTTTTTTTTTCTTTTTGAGACAGAGTCTTGCTCTGTTGCCCAGACTAGAGTGCCATGGCGTCAGCCTAGCTCACAGCAACCTCAGACTCCTGGGCTCAGGCGATCCTTCTGCCTCAGCCTCCTGAGTAGCTGGGACTACAGGCATGCACCACCATGCCCGGATAATTTTTTCTATATATTTTTAGTTGTCTGATTAATTTCTTTCTAATTTTAGTAGAGACGGGGGTCTCGCTCTTGCTCAGGCTGGTCTCGAACTCCTGAGCTCAAGTGATCCTTCCACCTCAGCCTCCCAGAGTGCTAGGATTATAGGCGTAAACCATCGCGCCCGGCCTATAGGGTGGATTTAAGTGTGGTGAAACTGGGGCACCTAAAACGCCATTGTAACAAAGGCATGAATTAAGATGATATGCTGAAGGAAGTAACTGATGAATGAATAATGGGCATAGGAGCAAAGAAAATGTCAAATAAGGCTGGAAACTAGATGAAATTGAGAGAACAGTGGTATCAACAAAAATGAAAACAGTTGAGAATTGAGATTCTGTGAGAGGAAGAGAAGTTTTGTTTCCATCT